TCAATTTCACATAATTTCAATTTCACATAATTTCAATTTCACATAATTTCAATTTCACATAATTTCAATTTCACATAATTTCAATTTCACATACAACAGTATCAAAAAAACAATACACACATTAAATTATAGTGCATAGAACCGACCAATCAAATTACAAAAAAGTGACAGACATTAGAATTTTTTTTTTCCAATTGTTAATTTGGCAATTTTTTTTAAAATGATTGAAATAAATAGTTTGCCACATGAACTTCTGACTGAAATATTTGAATATATTGAAGATGATTACCAAGCATTATATTCTTGTATTCTTGTCAACAAACAATGGCACAATATAAATATTCCAACTTTATGGAAGGATCCATTTGTTTGTAAAAACAACGTCAAAATATTAATTAATTGTATGTTAGAAGAAGATAAGGATTTCTTAACTAGAAATTGCATTGAATTAACTTTTGAACTATTGGAGAAACCACCATTATACAATTATGCTAGATTTTGTACTATATTTATCAAGTGTCGTCGTACTTATTACCTGGTAAAAAATAGAGAATTAAATCAAATTTTACAAAATAAATTAGAAAATTTTATTTTAGATCATTCAGCAGGTATTAAAAAGTTTAGTTCTCATTATATAGATTGTAATTTATTAATTAATCATCATAGGTTTGATAATTGTTTTCAAAATCTTTATGAAATATATCATAAGAGTTCTGATGGTGGTGAATTTTTTGATAAATTAGCAAATATTTGTAAAAATATTCAATCATTAAGAATATATTATGATAGTAGGGTCAAAAATATATATAATTTATATAATTTAGCACAGCTAATCAAAGCACAAAAGCAAATTAAATATTTATCTATTACATCACCAATGTTACCAGATGAATTAAGGAAAGCAATATTAACACATTCACAATCAATAATTTTTTATGAATCTCATGCCAGAAATAATTTTAATAGTTTCTTATTACCAACTCTTAAAAACTTAAAGACTTTAGAATTATCAATTTATTCTGATAGCAATATGATAAATTTGAAAAATATTTCACTGCCAAATATTGAATCTGTGAAGGTAGAGATTATTTATCACCCATATATATCAGACTTGTCTGATTTTATTAATATCAATGGAAAAAATCTTAAAAATCTGAATATTGTTGGTGGTTACAATGATGGATTATTGAGAAAGATATTTCAATCAATTGCACAACATTGTAAAAATTTAGAAGATTTATCTATAATATATAAGGATGGATTAGACCAGGAATTAATGGAAGCACTTAATAATTGCATTAAATTAAAAAGTATTACATTTAATAATATTTATAATTGTGAGATAGATTTTGATAAAGTATTGACAGTATTAAATGAAACATTACCAGAAAACTTAAAGTCAATAATTTTCACTTGTAAGGTTTATAATGTTAGTAACCATTCTTTGGATATCCTAATGAAGAATTGGAAAGGACCCAAACCTTTAGTAATAAAATTTGGAGAATATAGGCATAATAATTTTCTAAAAAGTGATGATAGAAAAATATTAGAAAAGTATAAAGATTTAGGGTTTTTTAATTTTATTATTCCTTCAATGTAGATCATTGCAGGTTTTTTTTTGAAAATTTAATGTTTAAATAAAAAATTTTTTTTAACCTCACGCCTTGTGGTAATCTTTAATTAAGGTGGTATTGCACAAACAACTGTGGAAAATGTGGATTTGCCTGCGAACAAAAAAAAAATATATTTATAATATTTACAAAAATAACTACTATTATTTTATATAAAATAACTAAAAACAAATAAAAAAAAAATTCTTGTACAGAATGATAGTTTTTAAAACAACTTGGACATTTGTTGCTGCAACATAATACTACATTACATTTAGAACACCAAATTTGACTTTGTGGAGGGTTTTGGTGCATTTTTTTTTAAAAAATCATACCTGCACCACAAGCAGTAGTTTCTTTCTTCACGGTATTCAGGAAAATGATCATTACCAATTAATCTAGTTGCTGGTAATTCAAAAATGTCAGAAACACGATATCTTTTATTGTCACTTTTCTTTTCAGATGTCTCTCCATCTTCTCCATTATGAGTATTTCTTTTTAATGGGTTTTGAATTGCTTCCTTAATCAATTCTTTAACTATTTGCATTCTAAACTTTTTATGTTCTTGAGAAATTCCTAACTTTTTACAAACAATAAATGAATTTACAACAGCTGTGTCTAAGAGCCAGAAAAAAAGAACAATTGGTAAACATTAGCATTAATTTAATGTTAAAGGTGATTAGTGGTGAGAAGTTTTCAAATATAAATTACAATCTTGATGATTACTAATTAATATTTTCTTATAAAAAGAGTTGGAGCCTTTTTGATTCTGAAGGTAACATTTCCAATATCTAATCATATAAATAATTAATTACCTCAACTTAATTAAATAATATTCACTCATGCTTATATATATTTAATATATTATCATTTTAATTCCTCGCATATAAATTATCAATTAGTTGGCCATCAATTACTGGCACAATAAATCTGCCTTTTGTTTTTCAAAAATAAATTTATTTTTATTGAATAAGTAAAATTTTTTTTTTCATTTACATTGTGCAACAAACATTATTTTTTTAAAAAAAAAATGATTGAAATAAATATTTTGCCACTTGAACTTCTGACTGAAATATTTGAATATATCGAAGATGATTACCAAGAATTATATTCTTGTATTCTTGTCAACAAACAATGGCACAGTATAAATATTGCAACTTTATGGAAGAATCCATTTGTTTGTAAAGACAGCACCAAAATATTAATTAATTGTATATTAGAAGAAGATAGGGATTTCTTAACTAGAAATTGCATTGAATTAACATTTGAACTATTGGAGAAACCACCATTATACAATTATGCTAGATTTTGTACCATATTTTTCAAGTACCGTGATTTTTTTTGTTACCTGATAAAAAATAGAAAATCAAAGCAAATTTTACAAAATAAATTAGAAAATTTTATTTTAGATCATTCAGCAGGTATTAAAAAGTTCAGTTCTTTGTATGTAGATTGTAATTTATTAATTAATCATCATAGGTTTGATAATTGTTTTCAGAATCTTTATGAAATAGTTTGTGATAGTTCTGATAATGGTGATGAATTTTTTGTTAAATTAGCAAATATTTGTAAAAATATTCAATCATTAGGAATATATTGGAGTAATGACAATAGTATATATAATTTAGCACAGCTAATTAAAGCACAAGAGCAAATTAAATATTTAGCTATTACATCACCAAAGTTACCAGATGAATTAAGGAAAGCAATATTAACACATTCACAATCAATAATTTTTTATGAATCTCATGGTAATGAAGATCATTTTAATGATTTATTATTACCAACTTTTAAAAACTTAAAGACTTTAGAATTATCAATTTATTCTGATAGCAAAATGATAAATTTGAAAAATCTTTTAATGCCAAATATTGAATCTGTGAAGTTATATAATACTTATCAACCATATATATCAGACTTGTCTGATTTTATTAATATCAATGGAAAAAATCTTAAAAATCTGAATATTGTTGGTGGTTACAATGATGGATTATTGAGAAAAATATTTCAATCAATTGCACAACATTGTAAAAATTTAGAAGATTTATCTATATTATATGAGGATGAATTAGACCAGGAATTAATGGAAGTATTTAATAATTGTATTAAATTAAAAAGAATTAGATTTAATAATACTTTTAATGATGAAATAGATTTTGATAAAGTATTGACAGCATTAAATGAAACATTACCAAAAAATTTAAAGACAATAGCTTTTATTTCTAAGGTTTACAATGTTATTAATCATACTTTGGATATTCTAATGAATAATTGGAAAGGACCCAAACCTTTAGTAGTAGGAGTTGACAAGTATGAGTATGAAAATATGCTAGAAAGTGATGAAAGAAAAATATTAGAAAAATATCAAGATTTAGGGTTTTTAATAATCAGTAAGTAGAAAATGATCTGGAAGATTGTAATTTATTCTTAAAAACAGCTTGATGAATTAGAAAAAATCAGAAAAATATTTGAGAAGCAGATAAAAAACCTTTTAATCTTTCAACAATTATAGCAACTGTTCATCCAAATGCTGTTTATACAATTAGATTATTGAATTTTACAAAACTTCTTCAATTATTAGTAACAATTATCTGATTTATTGTTTTTGTTAATGATATTCTTATTTAAATTAGAGCAAACCTTTCCTTGTAATTAAAGTGACCTATCACCATGCTACTATTATTATTGCTTTAATATTTTATATGTTTTATTTTATTTTTGTATCTGATAAAATATATTAATGTTTTTGAATATTTAAAAATGACACATTTTCTAATTGACTACTCACAAGAATAATTGTAAAGATTCATTTTTTTTGTAAAAAAATTTTAATTAACAATTTACATACTTAAATTTGAAAAAAAGCTTCAATAAAATAAAATATTTTATTCTCCAATAATTAAAAAAATATTCTTTTTTTTAATTAATAAAAAAATTTCACACTACAACTACTGTATTAATAATATTTCTCTTTTATTAACAAAATGAAAAAAAATCAAAACATGTTTGTATTGTCTTTAGTGTCGGAATTTGAAACATATATATGCAGGCCAATATTGGCACATAGAGAAACTTTTACATACACACGTGTTGTGTCAACTTGATGTTATTTCAACTTTTGACAATAATAAAATAAAATATCCCAGTGCCTGAGTTTGAAACAACATAAGCGCATTTTATCTGCATAGGAGGGAATTGAAAAATTGCAAAATTCTTAGTGACGAAGTTCCAAATGAAAAAAATATAACGTAATTCAGAAATTTGTTCACACATACTTGTAACAGAATTATAAAACATTATACAGTTCACACTCTCTATAATGGCCCTTTCTATAACGCACTGCGAATCAGAACCCAAATTTTTATTATATAAAAACCTTACTCTATAACGGTTTTTTTAATTAAATTTCCCATAGTGTATAACGGCCTGCCTCTGAAAATTTTCTCATATGTTTTACAGTGTGTTAAGAAAAAAACGGCGGTGACAAAAAATTGCATATCTCAACATTTATATAACATAATTAAATGAATTTAGTTTCGTTTGAATGTTTATCAAATTACCTTGTTATGCTATTGCCAATTTTCTGTAAAGCTAATTCATATCTTTTTTTTAAAACTTTGCAAAATTTTTGTCTCTGAAATTTTAACACGGAAAATTTTTAATAATAAGACTGACACAAAAATATACATAATGGTCATACAAAAAATTATACCAGTTTGTAATGAAAATTCTGGAGATTATATATATATACTTTTTGTCTATAATGGCCTTTTTTTGCCAAATCAGGCGGGCTGTTATAGAGAGAGTGAACTGTATACTTAACAATGGCTTAATATTAATATTGTATGAAAACAAAGGATTTCAATTGAAATTTACTTAAAGCTCAAACTGTTTGGAGTTTTAGACTAGAAACTACCTGACAGTCCCTAGTATTCTAATTTTTGCATTCTGCTTATTTGAATTAAATTTATTAATGATAATAAACTTATTATAGCAACCAGTGTCTCGGTTGGATGAGTTTTTTCTGATGCACAGACTTAATTTACTCAAAGACATTGTAGTTTAGAAAATGAAACAATATGAATTTGTATGTGTTTAAAAAGTTGGCAGAGACAATGCATTTTATACTGTATGTGAATCGAAAAAAAATAGAACATTGTTAGGGTTTCTATTCAAATTATTTGTTTTATTCATTATGAATTTGAGTATTCGAACATTGAAAGTTTAGTTGAATAAAATGAGTAATTCAAATAAAATGAATAAAGTGAATAAGCAAATAAAGTGAATAAAATGAGTAATTTGAATTAATATTAATATTAGAGGTTTAAAAGATATTTATGAACAAAAAATCATTCATAGTGGTAATATTCTTCAATCTAATCTTTACTCATATATTACAGATTTAGGATTATCATGTCCAGCTAGTCAAACATTAGCACCAAACAAATGACATATTTGGAGTACTCCCATATGTTGTATCAGAAGTTTTAAGAGAAACCATACACGATAGCGTCAGTTTTGGAGTTCTGATGGCTGTAGTAACAGCCTTTTAATAAGATATATATAGCCTCCAATGGAAATATGTGAAGGTAAAAGAATTTTATTATGCGTTTTAAAAGGAAGTTGCTCATCAGATTCAGTTGAAAAAAAGATTCAAATAATGTAAAAAAAAAGCAAAACTTTGTTTTAAAATTTATTTGAAACAAATTAGACAAGCTTTGTAATATCAAGTTATTTTGTGACCAACAATTTTCCAAAAAGTTACTTTTAAATAAAATATGCATAGAATATATTATTATTATACATATTAATATGTAAATATTTACAACTAGAAAAACTGCTGATCGTCATTTAACCAGTATATTTAACTTAAATCTATATTCTTCTTGTTGCCGTTCTTGACGCTTTCGTTGCTCCTCTTTAATGGTTTCTAATAATGAAGTGTTAACAACATATTTTTCAAGAATTATTTTAAAACTTTCCAATTCTTCAATTCTTCCTAAAAGTTTTTCAGAACTCTTTTGTGCGCGAGGCTCCACAATTGGTAGGAGGCCTTCTTTGGCTTTCCTTTTGAATCCGCAGCATCCACTATGTGCAAAACCCCATGGCTTTATGGAGTCAACTCCTAAAATTTTTGAAATAAGCGAGTGAGTAAATTATAGCGCACAATTATTTAACAAAAAAAAAGTCAATTTACCAAATAAAAACACATAGATAAACACCGCAGCACTATGAAATGCGGCTATAGTTCCTATTGTGCTTATAATCTAATTTATCCGATTAATGGATGGTTGGTAATCACTATACGTGTATGACATTTATGAAATCTCAAATACAAGTATTATTACTTACGGTATTGCTCCTATTATATAAAACTATTAAACTATTAGCAAAATATTCAATCAATGCTGTGATCCGAAACTTTTAGTTTTGGTTTATTGCAGGTTCTTTCCCGAGACTGATTAAGGTCACAGCACTGAGGTCAAATTAATAGATGGTTTTTACCTTTGTTCTTGTTCCTCTGCTATAATAAAGCTTTGCGGACTAATACGTATGATTGCATAATCTGTGCTTGAAGGGTTCACCGGGATATCCTCTGTAGTTAATAATCAACAACACAGACAACATCAGTATTTAAATGCACGCACGATGATATAGAGCTTTTAAAACAAATATTCTTACGCATTGTTGTTTCGATGTACTGTACTGTATTGTAGTATTGAATTGGGGTGCCAAAATAAGTCCAAAATGTTGGAATCAACGCCTCTCTGATTCTTCTAGAGTAACCTAGCTTATATTTCTATTGAATTTTGTTAATTTGCAAATTTATTCTATCATATTTCTAGAATGATAATTTCAAGTACACCTACAGAATGTCCTGTTAAAGTATGTTTATTCATATAGAAAAGCGACTCTTCAAATGGAGTAACCGAAGTATTAAAATCTTTATTCTGCGTATCGTACTCATTTTCTATTTATTTATGGCATATTGTTATCATACCAGCAAAATGTAAACATCAATTTTATGAAAAAACTTGCCTGCATCATATAAAGTCATCCTAAATTCTCGAGTGTAATCATCAGGTGCAGTGGAATTCTTGATGTTTATATGAAGATAAACAAAATGTAGTCCTACTGTATCATTATATTTGGTCAAATTGATGTTTCCCTTTGGTGAAAAGTATCCAACATATGGATAATTGTCGTAACCAATCTTTTTCGGTTGTACAATATATTCATCGCAACTGGTTGAATTTGCTTTTGAACATTTGGTGTCAGATAATAATATGTACATGAATATGAAATAATAATAAAGCAAAATTATGAAAAGTAGTTTAAATTTCTACTCACTTCCATAGTAATCATAATATAATGAACATGAAATGTTAAAATCTTGGCCAAAACCTAAATGAACGGCTGCGTTGATTCGCGATTTCGATATTAGAAAATATTTAATGATATTTTTGACTCGAAAAAAATAAGTTTACCTGGTACGATTGGATTATTTATTGGTGCAAGAGTAGTAGTAATATTAGATTGTTCATCAAACACTCTAAAGCACAATATTACAAGGGTGCCAATCAGAAATAATAATGATATGACGATAACCGAACGTCGAAAATATAAAATCGATCTTGGTTCGGTTTCTTGCGGTTTTTTAAATATGTGACTCAACATTTTGATAAATTTTCTTTTTCTTTAATTACAAGAACAAGCTTAATGGAGAGATATTTATATTCTTTTGATAATCAACCAGACGATCTCTTTGTCCTTTTAAACAATATACATAATTTTTATTGCATAATAATTGTCCGATTATCATATCAAACGTTCGCACGATTTTCACTTAAAATCTTATGATACACCTCAAGATGGATTCTTCTTGGCTGCATGAATTGTTACAGACGGATAATTTATTGATTAAAAAGGATGAACTTGGATTAAAATGAGAAAATTATTTATTATTATATTTTTCATTCATGCTGTGTGTTACATGGTAAAAATACATATTAATATTAATGTGGACATAATATCGAATTAGAAAGCAAAATGTAGCCCAATGCAATTTTCGAAAATAATGGTCTATATATTTTTCTGAAGGCTACAGTGTGGGTTACTCTAACACATCAAATAACTTTAAAGCTAGATCATGGCTGGCTGCGTAGCTCAAATGAGCACTTGACTAAACTTACTAAACTGTTTAGTTATATGTTAAGTCAAGTTTAGTCAAGACAATTATTACCGAATTAGGTTTTAATCCGTTTATGCTGCTAAGGTAGGGAAATCATTGAATGCTTGTCTGAAAAAAATATAAATGATATTTGATAGCTATTGGCTAGCTCTAGTTGAGATAATTTTAAAGAAATCATTAGTTCCGGAGTTATTAGCTTTTAAAATTTTCCGATAAACTTTAAATGTTTCAAATTTGAAATTTATATATAGCATATAAAAACACACGATTTTTAAAAGCAATAACCTGAAACCAATAATTTTTTTCAAGTAATCTCGACGATGGATTGTTTATTTGATGTGGACTCGCACTATACAAATAACAATTTATCCTTTTTATGTTATAACTATTAGCTAATATTTAGTAATTTGATTATGTATTCATTATTCAGCAATTTCATTTGATTATGCGGTGGAAAAAAAAATTTTAGCCGGTGCCGTTTTTATTTATTTATTGTCAAAAGATCTTTTGTTCGCAAAATAAAGTTTTATAACAAAAAATATAGATACAAAGTAAAGTTTGATTGAACGGTACTGGTTTTGGTTGAACAAACTCATAATGGACAATAAAAGACCATATACAGAATGAAGACACAAATGTATGAAACCTGGGGTTCTATTATTTGATCCTAGTCATGTGAACGAAAGTTTGATCATGTCGATCATATGCTATAATCAAAAATGACAAAGATTTCAAATTTAATCCCGACTTGGATTGTATTTAGAGTTGGTTTTTAAAAGACCGAGACCGGACAACACAACTCTAATTGTATTATCTGATTATTAAAATTTTAACTCATATCATTTAATTAAAACCTATATCAATTCTAAATTTCTGAATGTAATTGTAATTAATTGAATATTTGAAATTAATATCTGTTTATCCGCAAAACTATCTGTTTTGGAGTTAAACTATACATAATGGTGAAATAGATTAGTTTCGATAGAAATATAAAATCAAATTTGAAATATAAAATCAAATGTTCGAAAAAAATCCGCTATAAAAAAATGAACAATGTCAATTGGAAGCTCTAATTTTATAAAAGAACATCTTGATCACGTGAATTACTATCGTTACAATATTTACAACCTGCCATATTTTCCAGGAAATCTCTATTGCTTTTATTTCTAGAATTAATATTATTTGTCATAATGAAAAAACTAGTTTAGGGTTTAGGACTAGGCTTAGAGTGTGTTCTCTCCTGAAACTGTTTAGGGAATTCGAATGAGTTTTTAGGGTCACAACTTCGATCTCAATTTTGACTTGATTTCGGTTTTTAAGTTTCGATTTTCAAAAATTTCAAATTTCTTTCTCCATTCTATACGATAAAAAATAGTAGATGTAATAAATATATTCGCAATTGATTCCAAATTCTGATTGCAATATATGAAAATTATGAAAGTGCAAAATTTGAAGCTTTATTAAACATTGCAATGATTTCTGCTAAGTAAATTCCTCTACCAACTAGGTCAAAACAATAGCCTCCGGAGACAGCTCGATCCAAGACAGAAATGCAATTTCTGATACTGTTGAGAAGTAAAGTATTAAAAAAAAATTTCAAAATAGAAAAAACCACATGGAGGAGGTATTTGATTTGGATTAGTCTTTCAAGCCTTGTTCGCATAAACAAACTTATACTGCCCCCGGGATTTCAGAACTTGACGTCAGCAAAAATGTAATTATAATTATGTATTTATTTATTTATTGTTGGTAAAAATTGATGGTTTTACACAATTATCTAATTTTTAATAGATAGTTTTTGTAGCTCTTACTTTCACAAAAAATATTAGTGATTGTTGTAATAATAAATTTTTTTTAAAGAAAAACTTTCAAATTACAATATCATATTCAAAATCCATTAATGACTCAATAATATTGAAAAATAATTTGGAGTCTATTATCTAATAAAAAATTTTATTATAAATTATCACATTGCTAGTGCTGCTGTTGTTGACATCTATAAGATTACAATCAATGACTAATTTATTCTCAATAGATTTGATGACTTGCTTGATTTCCAATTTATCATTTTCATATAGTGATATAGATTAGAATTCCTCTAAATCATGACTTATTCCTACATACAATTTTCATATCTTATCTGAATTTCAATAATATTTCATATGTTTCCTTATCTTATTCTCTCATTTTAATTTAATGACTTCAACCTCATCATAATATATTCTTCTAATTCTGTTAAATAAAGAAGTTTCATAGTTATCTTTTTATCAGATTAACTCATTCTTGTTAGTAATGACTCTAATAAAGATAAAAACCGATCAAAAGGAAAAATAAAATCTCTGTTGCAATAAATCAATGAAATGAATCTGTCAATTGTTGAAATCTCCTTAAATATCAGATCTTAAAAAATTATACATTGCTTATTAATGTAAGCAAATAGTGTTATATAAATAATATATAACATACACTTTGACATAAACATTAATAATGAGAATCTTCTTATGACATAAACAGTTTATAAGTTACAAATCATTAAATATACTACAAAAACTTAGATTTATTTATCATTAATGTTATGTTAATAATTACAAATAAATATTATAAATAATAATGCATGTGATAAAATGCTTCTATACTGCTAAAAACCATTTCCATGAGTAATGTTATTTTATTTATTATTTTATTGTGTGGATAAAAATAACGCACACTTACACGATATAACGATTAATCAATCAAATCAATTTATTTCTATATGCTTTGACGAAATATAATTTTTATATATTGGATGATAAATCAACTTAATATTATTTGGTATTTTGTTGTTGAATAATAAATTTTTCTTATTCTTCTTTTTCTTGCTATAATCTGTTAATTCTTGATTTTGTTTATTCTTTTGGTAATTAGAAATCTAAATTATGCACACAAAAAAATAATATATAAATATATTTTTGTAAAACTCAATAAACTCATGATATATGAACCATAATTACGTATAATGTTAAATTTTCATTTAAATTTTTTCGGTTAATTGCTTGATAAAATTCAATTATTAACATTCTAAAAATGGTGATATTTAAAATATTTAATAATTATTGTGTTATTTATATTAATAATAATATAATCAATCATATATAAAAATTATTTTAATTATACTTTCCACGTTTTAATCATAGAATCAATAGTTTGTTCTACTATGTCAATGCATAATTCTTTCACTTTCAATTCTGCTTCATCATCACCCTTTCTCTCACACAAATCTAAATAATATCCACCAATATATGCTTCCAAGCATTCACTGTAAGGTCTTATATTTTCTTTAAGGTTTAATTTAATTGGTCCTTCAATATTTGCCAATTTGTCTAATTCCCATTCAATCGCAAAAAATTTCAATTGTTTACTTTGCACCAGCAATGCTTTACAAACCGATAATTGTCCATTATTAAAATATGGAAACTTTTTGAAAATATAATTTGTTACTGTAAAATATTGGACGCATGTGAATTATTATTGTTGTTATTATTATTATTATCATCATCATTACTATTTTCTCTTCAATTAGTCTCAAGCAATTTAATTCCTGTACGTTACCATGAAAATTTATAAGACTATCACCAAAAAAAGCAAACCGATTAAATCCATGTGATTTCTTGCCCATCATGACATCTTGAAGAATTTTTTTATCTAATATTTGAGGAAGTTTTTTCTGCCTATTTTCGATTGATTTAGATGTAGTTATGTTGATGATTTTTTTGATAATATTATTTTTTTTTGAAAAAATATTTTTCATTACAAATATAATAATAATAATAATAATAAATAGGGAAAATTTCAGATAATCTACGTGTAACGCAATTAATTTACACTAAAAAAAAAAAATATTTATTTATTATAAAAAAATATAAACAATCAATGAATCGATGAAAAAAAAAAAGTGGAATTAAAAAATAAATATTTTTCTTAAATGTAATAACAATTTGTCCATTATTATTACAATTAACCACCATTTCTAGTAGTATTGTTGTTAGTAGTAGTATTTTTTGTATTGCTAAATTGAGATCGAAAAGTTGGAGCTGATTGTTTAAATTTATCATTAACACCTTGACCTGTAACTATTGTCATAAAATTAAACATTGTACCTTTCAACCAACCCTCCCAATCTGTATTTTTACCATTATCATTATCAGCACCATTTCCATTACTACCACCATTTTTATTAATATTCAATCCACGTCCAAGATGACCATTTTTATTTCCATCAACATCATCCCATTGATCAAAACATTTTTGAAAGAAATCTCCCCAACCATCTCCCAACATTGCCATTTTTTCCCCGACTCCATTCCTTACTCTTGCCCAAACTTGTGAAGTACGAAACACTCTACGTGTATCATCATAGAATGTAAGCAAATATGATGCACAAAATATTATCCAAAGAACTGTTATGCAAAATGAATATATCACCATTAATGAAAAGAATTGTACTGTTGTTGATGAAAATAATCTTTTTGGTATATCAAATGGCCGCAAAAGTATTTCATTAAGAATTCCACCATCATGATTGTCATCATTGGAGTTAACAGCATCACCATTAATATTACTACGAATATTGCAATTATTGACACATTTAATATTAATGTTTTTTTTAGTAGATGAAAGGCGATTTCGTGATGATAAATTATTGTTGTCATTATGATTATTTGGTAAACCAGTTGCTAAATCATTAAATGCTTCATACGGTGAATTTGTTCGTAGATTCATCTCTTCTTTTGAATTATAAATTCTCTAATAATAACATTTATTTAATTAATTAATTAGTAAGTTAGTTAGTTAGATTCATTCATTACTTTCCATATTTACAAAATCAATAATGTTAAACACTTACACTTACACAATTTAATTAAACTTTTGGAAAAATGAAATAATTTGAATAGCCACAACTTAAGGTTTTCTTGAACTTGAAAAAATTTTAATTGGTAACGAAAAATCAGGATAGAATTACTAAATTCATATCCATATATTTTACGTTACACTAGCACACATTCGTCATTTTTGTATTACTACAAAACATTAACAAGATTTCGTTGAAAACGTTTGAAAACTATTATTTAACAAAATTAAAAAAATAAAAATATTGTTTTTTATCATTCAGAAATCAATAATTCACGTTATATTTTAGAAGTTTTTATTGGGCGAATTTGCAATTTCAATTTCACGTATGGGCGGGCGTTTTTAGTTTCCGTTCCACAAATACAATTTTTTTTATTATTGATTGGCCGCTCATTTTAAAAAATAAAACAATATTTGAAAAATATTTCAATGAAAATGAAAGATTATTAAACACTAAAGATTTTTATGATGTGAAAATATACATCGGTTTAGAACCAAACATTAAAGAAGTTCATGCACATGCTCCTATCATATCAGCACATTGCCCATTTTTTAGCAATGCATTAAGTGATGCAACAAAAGAAAATGGATATTATATTATTAAGAAAGCTAGTATTAGTGAAAAAATTTTCAAGCCTATTCTCAAGTAAGTTTGTACAAAATTAGTTATCGTTGAATATATAATAATGATAATTTATTTAATAATTTATTTATTGTTGAAAGATTTTTTATACACATGTAAAATTGAATTTGAAAATTATTCTGGAGCTGAAGTACTAGAACTATTAATTGCAGCAGATGAACTTGGTATTGAATCACTTTATGAACACATCATAAAATATTTTATTGAAAATCATAAAGAATATATAAAAGAAAATCCAGTTAAAATTCTACAATTGATTTACACCAATGAAAATTTTATTGAATTGAAAAATATTTATTTAGAAAAGTTGTGTGATTATAATGAAAAATTATTTCAATCAAGTGAATTTAAGTCATTGGAAAAACCAATTCTATTGGAACTTTTTAAAAGGGATGATTTTTCTGTTGATGGAGATGGTTATCTGGGTAAACATCCTTAAATGGGGATTAACAAAACATCCAGAAATCAATAGTAGCAATATTGAAAATTGGTCATCACAGAATTTTGTTGATTTAGGCAACACATTACAAGAATTTGTTTCTCTAATAAGATTCCAGGATATTTCTAAAGATGATTTTTTTAATGAGATTATGACTGATAGCTTTACTGAAGAAGAAAAAAGCAAAGCTGAAGAAGCTGAAGATTCAGATGAAGAAGGGGAAAAGATTGTCAACTTTAGTAATTGATGAGCACATCAACACATGTAATGAGAAGGAATGGGTTTTAAACAATGGAGAAAAAGCCAGGGATATTTACTAAAATGACATCAAAAAAAATCAAAGAAGTAAATCATTAAAGAAAGTAGATAGGAAGATTCTGAGCATCATAAGGTATATCATGTTTGTTAAGATTGTTCTTAATATTTATATATTAACTAATGATATGAATATATACAGGCTTGGTCTTTCATCAATAATCGATTTGTCATTAGAGTTTGATGAAAAAATGTGCATGTGGTTTGGAGAAGATTGGGGAAATTTGAAAGTGAAGGCTTCAGAAAAGATAAATTTCAAAATAAAAAAATTTGAAGGTGAAACCTTATCTGATATAATTAAGATAGAAGAGGTTCTGTAAACGTTCAAATAATGATCACAATTATTTACAAACGTTTAGATATTTATTTAACACTGTTAATGAACTGATAATTTTATTGTTGTAAAATTATATAAAAGTTATCTTTATTTGTTTGAATTTTACATCTTTAAATAATAAAAATACAATTCTTAAAATACAAATATAAATCATAAAGAAATAAATAAATATATAATCTATATATTGTATGGAAGCTTATAGACTTCCTGGAAAGTATTGATCATAATTAAAGATAACTTCTTGATTATAAATAATATAAATAAAATAATAATATGATTATATTCTCCACAATATAACATAACAATATAATATCCACTTTTCTTAATAAAAATAATAATGATAATAATAATAATAATATGTATAATTCTTCACCAAAAATCCCGATTGCCAAGTGACTTAAATTAAACAACAAAAAAAATATGAATTCCTTTTACCAAATATGGTAATAAAATTAAATGCCATTTGTGTGACATATTAGATTGTTTTTGCACTGTAATTAGGGATGGGGGTTCGGTTTGGTTTGGTTTGGTTTCATAAAACCGGTTCAAACGGTTTGAACGGTTTTTTGAACAACATTACACGACCCCTATTTAATTACCAAAAAAGGCAATGAAATTCATTCCTTTTTTGGTAATTCCTAAATAATAACGAAAAAGCCTTTTAACCAATTAACCATTTACATAAAAAATCGAAAAGAATTGTAAATGAAATAATAAAGCCTTTAACCAATTGACAATTTGTCTAAATGATCATTTAATAGAATAAAATAACAGATTAAAAAATAAAGCATTTTAACTAGGGTTCCTATTCAAATAAAACAAATAAAACGGATCAAAAATAAAGCCTTTTAAACAGTTAACCATTTAGACATAAAAGAATTGTAAATGATCATTTAATAGAATAAAATAACAGATTAAAGCCTTTTAATTAGGGCTCCTATTCAAATAAAACAAATAAAACGGATAAAAAATAAAGCCTTTTAACTAATTGATCATTTGGACATAAAAGAATTGCAAATGATTATTTAATAGAATAGAATAATAGATTAAAAAATAATGCCTTTTAACTAGGGTTCCTATTCAAATAAAACAAATAAAACGGATCAAAAATAAAACCTTTTAACCAATTGATCATTTGGACATAAAAGAATTGTAAATGATTATTTAATAGAATAGAATAACAGATTAAAAAATAAAGCCTTTTAACTAGGGTTTCTATTCAAATAAAACAAATAAAACGGATCAAAAATAAAGCCTTTTAACCAATTGACCATTTGGACATATAAGAATTGTAAATGATTATGGATAATTTTGATTAACCCATAATGACTCTTGCAATTTCACCATTTTTGTAGTTTTGTCATTTTTCTAACTATTATAAAAAGGATAATTATTCCCTTGCCATTGAAGCAATATCTTTGATATAATAAAACAACCTTACAGTTGTATATTCTTCAAAATTAATAAACTTTTATTCTTAATCTTTTGAAATTAATAATTCTTTGATAACAAATCTTATCCTACATATTAAAAATTAATAATTATAATAAAGAAAATGGATCAACAAACTTTTGATAACCAAGACCTCTACCAAGAAAATTTTGATAACCAAGACCTCTACCAAGAAAATTTTAATAATATGAGCTTTGATTCTACTAGTCCAGTTTTTGGTGATGCACAATCGGAAACAACAGATGCTAATATTTCTACCACCTCATCAACAACATTGACATCAAGTCTTGTATGGGAACATTTTGATAAGAATCCAGCTCATGCATTAGGATATAATGTTTGTAAAAAATGTACAATTAAGTACAAGTTAACAACAGGTATTTCAACACTTTGTAAACATCTCAAAGACCATCACCAAATGCAGGTACCTGCTAGGATACAAAGAACAATTGCCAGAATTGAACCTTTTTACGAACAAGAACAAATGGAACATACTAAATATCTTATTCAGTGGTTAATCTGTGATCTCCAGCCCTTTACCACTGTTGACAACCCTTATTTTAGAGCATTTGTCAGCCACTTTTGTCCTCGTTATACTATTCCTGAGCAACACCAAGTAAAAGATTTTATAATTGATGGATTTAATAATCGGAGAACAAAAATTGCTAGTGAACTTCATCAAATTGAAGGACAATATTCATTGACGGCTGATATGTGGACTTCTATGAACCAAGATGCCTTTTTAGGAATAACCATACATTATATAAATTCAAATTGGAATCTCTGCAATTTTCTACTTGATATCATCCCTTTTACCACTAGACACACCGGAGAAAATATTGCAAGGGAGATCATACGCGTCTTAGATGAATTCAATATTTCTGGTAAAATCATTGCATTAACCACGGATAATGAATCTGCAATGGTTGTGTGTGGAAGAAAACTAGCTGAATCCCTTGATAGTCAACTTTCTTTAATGACTTTCTCACATTATCGTTGTGCAGCACATGTTTTAAATTTGGGTGTTAAGCAAGGATTAGAACTAGTTAGTAATTCAGTTAATAAAATACGTAAATTAATGAGTAAAATTAAAATCTCAACTCTCCTCTGTGATCAACTTCATCGCTTTTGTGCTTTAAAACAAATCCATGATTATAAACCAGTTTTGGATGTGGAAACCCGCTGGAACTCAACTTACTACATGTTAAAACGTTTTGAACAACTTGAACCAGCACTAGTTTTACTTTCTGCTGATAATAACAGCGTCAAGGATCTTTATCCTAATGATGGTGATCGGGTTATAATTAAGGTAAATTGATATTAGTAATTTCTTCTTTAAATTCGTGTTATGACAGATTTTTAAACTTCATATAAAATTCATTGAAACTAATACCTGATATTCTCATCATACACTATAGGATACTCTCTTACTTCTTGAATTCTTTGAACAAGCCACAAAATACCTTTCAGCATCATCATATCCAACTATGGGTGATTTCCATCTTATCTTTGGAGGTATCCAGGTATATTTGCAAGAACAAATAGGAAGAGAAGGCTTCACACAAAGTGAAATGGCAGCATCAATATTTCAAAAAATTGAAGAGTATTGGAAAATTATGAATCGTTCTTCAATTGCTTCAGCAATTTTAGATCCTCGAACCAAACTCACAGTCTTTTCAGAAGAA